CAACCCTGCTCCTAGGAGTAACAGGGCAAGGGGTATGTCGAATAATGAGTAATCGCTACAAACTTACAGCTAGAACTTAACCACTCAACCCATCGCTAAGTGAACTCGCCCAACATCGGTAGATGGACAAGACAATCGCAACTCGTCGCGTCGTCGCACACGGCGTACCATGTGGCAAGGACGCGTCAAATTCACTATGCGCTAGTTGCAGCAGCGAAACAAACAGTTCCACCGCAGACAGGATTCCAAGACAGGCGATATCAAATTTCTCAATGTCACATTCAAATTCGAACGGCCGGCCAGTGAAACTCGTCCGCTGGGCGCGGCGTCGCTCGCCACGCCCACCAGAGCGGCATGTTACGATTGTCTTGTCATATACCCCCAGACATCTCCAATAGCATAAGAGACTTACCTCTCTTAGCTGTCCATCCATTTCCATCGACAGCGTACTCCACACGACCGACTTTCTTTGGAACACCTCCAGCATGCCATTCACACGCGACGTCATTCATCAGCATTAATCGGCTGTCATTGTTGTACTTGAATAGCCACCTGAATCGAGGTTTTTGTAGCTTTCTTTGGTCGGACAACTCGTCCGGAGTAATACACCTCCAAAACGTCCACATACCTCTCCTTTCCGTTCATTTCATGACCTGCCAGTCGCCCTTGGGCGTCAAAACTACGAGTTTCCTTGAAGTCACCCACGATTGTACGCCAAGCATTCACAATCGCTCGTCCTGCGGAATCACGTATTGTCATCAGGGACAATCGTACATCACCGATAACGATTTTCACAGACACTGGTTGTCTGTAGATATCCAGCGATGTTTCGTGCATCATCTGAAAAACCTGGCATACATAGCCCTTTTGGTAATTGTGGGTAGTTTGGCATACCTTGAAGCCCTGTATCCTGACCATCGTTGATTCCCTCAGAATCTGATAACCAGCATATGCCGACATGAAGCCTGTTCGTTCATCGTAGGTGAGCTAAAATAGACATAATCGAGGTCACTTCTTCACCGGTGAACTAAGCGACATCTTGGATAGGTGGGTAAACGAGGCACGTCCTATCTAAGGGTAAGATTTCCTGCCGCGAATATAATCTTCCTCAAGGCGTTTTCCCCTGCAGTACGACCCCTTTCCCACATCCTACCCATCATTTTCCTGGATGCTCCCACCTTCCTACCGTTTTCAGATGTAATTCCCAGATGGTCCCTTTTCAATTTGCCCTCTAAAAAAACAGTCGCTAAAAAGTTATTGCCGCAGAGATCAAACGGTGGTTACTATAGCGCCAGTGAACGGAGAAAAAAGCAAAAATTAGTCAACGCACCAAAAAACATTTTCTGAGAGCGGATAAGTCCATTTCACTGGGGGTCCCACCGTACGACGCCCTCAGGAGGCAAAGACTCCGCTACAAAATTCCATTTGGAATGTGGGTGCGAACTGAAACCACATTGCGGCGACGCGGCATCGCATCGCAAGCGGTGTCGCGTACGCGGCACGGACCCAATCAACTTCAACGTGGAATTACAGAAATACGACGAATGTAACGAGCCACCAGATGAAACCCACTAGGGTTCTACTAAGTTGCCTAGAGGAGAGTGGGGCCGCTACTTGAACCGGGAAATGTTTTTTTATTATTTGATTTTTTCACATGGGCACTAGAAGTTTCCTAGCCTGACCAAAACCACTCAATTTCTATCGTTGGGAAAGAATGTGCATCCCCTCCTCTCTCTTTTTTTTTTTCTTCCACTCCCTTCCAAGCTATTTTTTTCGAATGCTCGTAGGATAAGATGAAAAGTTCCCTTACCTGTATGGTTCTATTTGCCGGTACCAGAAATGACGCTTTGAATAGAAGTTGCGTTTCGTAAGGAGCCTTCGTCATGCTCCACAGCAAACGATGAATCACGCCATCTGAAACTAAAAAGCAGATATTTCAAGCTAGATGCCAGCTGTCATAGCCGATTAAGGGCCATAGATACAACTGTTACTGGATGTGGTTGGTAGCCAAAGAATAAGAGTGGTGGGCGGGGCTATCTCGTCAAAGGGCGGAGCTGGTCGACCAAGGCGAGTATAACAGGAATTTCGTTCAAAATCTGACCAGAATTTCTAGAAAGGTGAAAGTAAGGGGTAAACAGTGGGAGAACTTTTGCTTTGCGAGACTCCGTGGTATAATAGAGGCGTAATAGAGGTAAAAGCATTAGGCCCTAGTTCGAGTCCTGTCTGAGCTGCTGCTCATAATAACGCATCCTCATCTGAAACTTCATGCTCACCCATTTTTCGTCTGCCTTCGTTCACTCATCGACACCAACAACGGTCCTTGGTATGTGAGATTCACATGCAAATGAGGTGACTCCACAGCCACCAGCTTGTCTGCCTTGTAGGTGAAAGCGGTAACTCCCGAGTCGCATATTTCCTACAATTTTCATTATCGATTGAGAACTAGTCAGTGGGACAAACGAACTGGTTGGAGCTTACCTTCACTACTCGATCGTATTTGTCGCGTTGTAGCAGAACATGATGGAGTTCGTCTGCGGTCGTCCACTCCAATAGTCGCCCCTCACTGTCCTCAGCCGCAACGAATGGCTTTTTCGTAAATGGAATCCTGAAGCAAAGAAGAATCATTGAAAACGAAAATTAACTGGCTATGTTAAAAATCGAACAAGTGAGAAATGATGAGTTGGGGGGGTGGGGTGTCGAAAGCAAGAGCGGTTCAACTTCCGTTTCGCACGTGCCTTTAGACGAAAGCCGAGCAGAAGCATAACCTCCCCCCCCCCCCTTCAAGTTTATAAGCTTAGCGTACTCTTTTCACTGGTTTGATACCCAGCAACTAGCCTTGTACTTTACACCTATTGGGCAGCGGCTGTATGGCGAACGCGTCAGCTAAGCGTTGCCTTTCAGGTTAGTATGGGTCAGGAGGTCTCAATTGCGGCGGAACTGCGGCGAACGCGGCATCACGCGCAAGACAGAGTATCACTATGGATGGCTGGATCGATACGACCCCCAAATTTTCTTCTCCATCACCACATCCCCTCACAGCTTACCCATCCTCCTATCCAATTTTTTTCAAACTTTATAGTCGAGCAGGGAAGGGGAGCCCGGATCAATTATCAGAAATATGACCGGTATTGGTTTCGGTAGGGGCCGACTGGGCGGAAAGGGCGAGGGAGAGGGTTTGTAGCGGGAACAGAAAATAACAATGTGGAAAAAATCTCTCTCGAGCTTGACTCCTTCTTCCCCCACTGGCTGAAGTACAACCTCCATCTCCAGTGGTCCGAATACAACACCCTGATCGGTTTCGCTTAAAGGCAGTTGGCACGATGACTTGGTGCTCGGCCTGAATATAGTGGGGAAATGGCGAAAGAACGGAGTGAAACGGTCAAAATCCTGCGAAGAAAGAGCCTCCGTTCTCAGTGTGTTGAAAATCAATTTTGGACGAGTTTCCCGTAGGCATCTTGCCAATAACCGCTACCGAAGGTACGTACTCATATATCCATGCAGCATCACGGCCGCTTCATACCAATCCCTTCGCTTCATAATTTACTACTCGTCTCGTCCCTACTCGTCTTGGGGGATTTATCGTGCCAACTGCCTTTGACGATGATGTGCGCTGTACCGCGCGCGACCAGCGCGGCGTTACAGCTGGAATCTCTCATCCTAATTCGATTATTGATCGACCAGAGTAGGAAAAGGAGCCGGAGGCAGGTTCTCCCCACCTCCTTCCCTCCCCCCTTGAC